CAGTGCGGTGGTGGCTTGAGTCTGTTGAATGGTGATTTAACGCTACGTTGTCACCTAGTTGGAGAGACTCAATGCTAAAGTAAATAAACAACAATGTCCCCGTCTTTTACTCTCACAATGAGCTTATCATACTCGTTTGCTACATTAGTAGGGCCCTATGATTTCCGCAATGCAGAAAACACAAACTGAATGGTGGAATCCAGTCATAAAAACGGAATTTACTGTATAACGCGGAATTTCAAGGAATTTGTCTTATTTTTGATGAATAAATAAAAAAACAGTGAATGTTCTGCATGTTCATTTGATTACCAGAAAATACACAACACAAAGTTTGTAAAAAACAAAAAAAAATATGAATTATTATTATTTATTAATTTTAGATGTTTACATCGTACCAGTCAAAAGTTTGGACACACGAATGGGAAGTGTGTCCAAACTTTTGACTATACTGTACTATAATATAGCCTACACATAAAGCATATCGGCCGATATATCGGTATCGGTCTTTTTTTACTCCCAATACCGATATCGGCATCGGCCCCCAAAAAACCCATATCGGTCGGGCTCTAATATATATGTATATATTTTTAAAAACTGTACTTTCATATAATATGAATGAAAAAAGGCCATTTAAGTGTACTTAGAGAACAAATGAGTTGTAAGTGCTAAAACCACACATTCAATTTCATTGTATGGAAAAGTTCAGCTTGGGCATCCCGCTGAACATCTCCTTTTGTGTTCCACAGAAAAAAGAAAGTCACACAGGTTCAAAGCAACATGTAAATGAATAAATCTTGACAGAATTTTTCAGAACATTCCTTTAAATGTGTTGAAACAATTCTGGCAATGATTGATTTAATCTTACGGCTCTCTGCAGGTTTTGCGGTCACAGGTCATGTGGATGGTGCCAGGAGAAGTCATGTGTATGTGAGCGAGGTGAATCCTGAAGGCCTGGCGTTTATTAGAGGTAACATTTCAATATATCTTATGCCTCGATACGATTTTAAATGTTATGATTGATGGAACGTATTGTGATTGATTTGTATGATGTGTATTGTCTTTGTAGGTCTGAAAGCTGGAGACGAGATCTTGACTCTTAATGGTGTGAGTGTGGCCTCTCTTGACCTCGGCCTCATGCAGAGCTTCTTCAGCCAGCAAGAGCTCCGTCTCATCCTCAGACGCGAGGATAACAGCGCAGACGACCAAAGCTCCGTCTGGCCAGACTGTGACCCCAGTGAACCTGATCAACCCCAACCTCCTCAGGGCGACATCATTCACCTGGAGCAGTGGACCACAGGTAGAAAAGCACAATGCACTTTATAATGCACTGCTCTTCTATAAACGCTACCGTTCAGAAGTTTGGGGTCCGAAAAGAGTTTTTAACTTTTTTTTTCTAAATTTAAAATTAATGAAAGATTATGTTAAAAATGAAAGATTAATGTAAAAAATTTGAATTACTTATTTATTTATTATGTTTTTGAAAGAGTGTCATAGCTTTTCTATTTTGATATATTTTAAATTGTAATCTATTCCAGTGATGGCAAAGCTGAATTTTCAGCAGCCATTATTCCAGTCTTCAGTGTCACACAATCCTTCAGAAATCATTCTAATAAGCCAATCTGGAAGAAAAATGTCTTATTATCAACAATGTTAAAAACAGTTGAGATGCTTAATATTTTTGTGGAAACCTTGATAAAAAAAGTTTTCAGGATTCTTCGACCAATTGAAACTTTAAGCATTTATTTGAAATTTGAAATGTTTGCAACAATGTAAAAGTATTAATTTCTTTAAAAACAAACAAATAAATAAATCTTACTGACCCCAAACTTTTGAATAATATTGTATTTTGCCATTATATCTTTTCAAATAATATTGGATGTGCCCTGCTTTTTCTGCATTAACCCTACATGAACTGCAGAGGGCAACAAACTTTGCATTTGACTCTTATTGGTGGTCTGGGTATTTATTTCTGCATACTGTTTCCAGGGATGTCATGTGGCTAGGTTTTTGAGGGGGCAGCAGTGGTCCTAGCTCATGCCGTGCCCTTTTTATGAGAAAAACAAACAAACAAAAAACACCCATTAAATGAAAGAACGTTCAAGTCTCAGTTTACGTTTTTTTTTAAATAATGTTTTCGATAAGCACATTTTTACCTACAGTAATCATGGTAAACTGCTACAGTAGTCATCAGTAAATATTAACCAACTTCAACTTTATTTGATTTTGTAAGTAGAATTTAAATGTATTTGGTTACCCATCAACTGAACAGGCATTAGTGAAGAAACTGCCTGCAGGGCTTGCGGAGGGCTGTGACTGCTGGCGGCCTCTGGCTCTTTAGACGTACTGCAAACAATGAAACAACTCCTGCTGTTTTTATGATGAGAACCTAACGATGGACAACTTGTTTCACAGCATGACGCTGTCAAAATGCCCAGACATAAACTATTACACCACAGGGCTCTCCGCAGACAACAAGACTGTTATTCTCTACAGGATGGTGTTTCCTGTAGAGGGGTTTGTAACATTATTCTAACAGTAAACCTAGTGCATATTAGGTTTTCCCATTTGATGCAATGCCAAGCTTTGTAGAATCCGAGACGAGGCCTGCTGAAGTGGACCTGCATCAGTTAGTGAGATCAGTTCAATGGCGGTTAATAAAGGTCAAATGCTTGCACTGGTCGGACTATATTGAGCCATATCCCGAGAGAGAGCGCTGAGTTAATCAGCCTTGAGTGTCTTTATTTCACTCTCTATCACCGTGACTTAACACGTCTTACTTTAAAAAAACAGACCACTCTTTCATTAACATCTTGTCCACCTCCTTTTCTCCCTCAGATCCAGCTCAAGAGCAGGAATTTCCCGAGGGCTCCGCGACGCCTGCTTTGGAGGAGCTGAACGATAAGGCCAAGTGGGGCGAAAAGGTAAGCCGAGGGAATGAGCTGTGGTGCTGTCAGAGATTTAGGAGGTGTGAGCAGCTTGTGTTGAGAGACTGGCTGGTGTGATCAGGATTACGGTGGGTGTTATGGGGTCAGATGGAGAGAGAGACGTGCTCAACAGAATTCCACAGTCTTACTGCACACTTGGCAGCTGCAAACAATAATATTTGACTTTCATTGCTTTGAAAGGTTTAAAATGTAAAATGTTTTTGCACGGCATGTAGGGCTTGGCAGTCATTTTTCAGTATTCAAGTTTACACAAATTTGTGTTTGGGGTCAGTAAGTTTTTTTTAATACTTTTAATTACCAAGGATGTGTTAAATTGATCAAAAGTGACAGTACTGGGTTACAAAATTCTATTTCAAATCAATTTTGAACTTTATAGTCATCAAAGAATCCTGAAAAAAAGTGTATCACGATTTCCACAAAAAAATATTAAAAACAAAAAATTATGTTTTCAACATCGATAATAAAAATATTTTTTTCTAATGTCACTAAATCAGCATATTAGAATCATTTCTGAAGGATCATGTGACACTGAAGACTGGAGTAATGATGCTGAATATTCAGCATTTTCTTTAGGAATAACTTATATTTAACAATATTACTGTTACTGCTGTATTTCAGATCAAATAAATGCAGCTTTGGTGAGCATAAGGGACTTAAAAAAAAAAAATCATTAAAAAATCTTACTGACCCGAAGCTTTTTAACTGTAGTCAAGTCAAGTCACCTTTATTTATATATTTATGCAATACTGGTTGAGTCAAAGCAGTTTTACAATGTCAAACAGGACACTGTATTTTGCTGTTTATGACCATGCATAGTTATTTTGAGGCATACAAATAAAATTTGATTTAACATCATATTTACAAATATCTTTTAAACACTGTGGAAACATATCTTGCATTAAACATTTTCAGTCTACTTTGGTTGTTTGGTCAAAATTATATTTCCTCCGATTGAAATACTGGGCAAATACATAAAAACAGAAGTACAAATATTTTCAAAAAGGTTATAAAGTCTCAAGATGTGAAATGTTGATTGAGGTTTCTCTGTTTGACCTTTGCTATTTTTTATATGAAAAAAAAAAAGGTTTTCTGTAGGACGGCATCTCTCAGTGAACAAAATGTCTGATTGACTCACTGCTGCTTTATGGGAGGTCAGTAACAGATCAGCATGTGGTCATTTAGATTTAATCCAGGCTTACAGAGACTGGAGAGAGAGCGAGAGAAAGAGAGAGAGAGAGAGAGAGAGAGAGAGAGAGAGAGAGAGAGAGATTAGCATGTACCTGCAGTAGACAGAGTATTTTGGTGTCTATAGTGTAGTACATGTGTAGAGGAGAGGTCTGAGGTCATGTGTCGGGTGGTGGGACAGAACAGTGCAGGAGGAGATGAAGAGGAATTCTGTGCGCTCTTCCCGCTGTCGTCTCTCCGTCAGACCCTCAAGGAGATGTTGGTGGGACTGCTGGATGATGTGAGCGTGTGTGGGAGGTGTGAGTGCATCTCACTGGTACTGACATCATTTCTCAGTCTTTTTTCTTTGTTTTTGTGGTTATAAAGTGATTATTTGCATGTGTTTATGGTAACACTTTATAATAACATTTATTAATATAATAAACATTGTACATTATGTAAAAGATCTTTAAAGGATGAGTCAACTATATGTAAGCCATTTGTAGATTGCATTTGTTTGGGGCAGGACTATCAGTTTTACCAACCAATGGCAGATGAAAATTTGATGAATATATTTTTATATATAATCATATTTGGATGTTATGCATTATATAATGTTAATTATATAAAACTTAAATAACACTTATCTAAATTTTTAGTAGTAATATTTAATAACAGTAACATGTCCATTTAGGGTGTACATTGAAAAAAAAGTTTCACTGTGCTTGTTAACTATTTTACAGAAATATATATTTATAATATATAAACAAAAATATTTAAACAATTTTATAAAATTGTATATAATTATTATGTAAACTACTTTTTATATTATTTATCCTTACTGGTAGAAATTGAGTCAAATGTATTATCTAAATAAAAATATTTAACTTCATATTGTTTTTACAATGAACAATCTGAAGTGCAAGCCATTTTGTGTGCGATTATAAGGAATTCAACATTTAATTCATACATTTTCTAAAGAATAATGTCATCCTTAGAAGTCAAGTCAAGTCACCTTTATTCATATAGCGCTTTATACAATACAGATTGTGTCAAAGCGGTTTTAGTGTTAAACAGGAAAAAAGTTTGTCAATGCAAGAGGACAATAACAAACAGTCAATTTTTCAGTTAAAGTCAGGCTTTATAAGAAATTAGCAAGATTTCAAAATGTGTATGATATTCAATAGGGAGACAGTGCAGAACCTGGCTAATATGGTCATACTTCTTGGTTCTAGTAAGAACTCTAGCTGTTGCATTTTGGACCAGCTAGAGTTTGTTTAATATACGCGCAGAGAAAACCACCCAATAAAGCATTACAATAATCTAACCTTGAAGTCATGAACGGATGATGCATACCATAGGGCCGTTGCTATATTGGCAGAACAGGCACTTGAACTCTGCATTATGAAGGGCCTCTATAACTGTACCATATGTAACATGGGCCATGGCATATGTTTCATTTTTTACATGAAAAACGGTGGTAATTCATACACAGCCTCTCTCTCTCTCTCATAAATGAGCACTTGATAAATTACACTTTTCTGAGAATATAATATTGAAGTGGAGATCGCTAAACTGCAAGCTAACCGGTGTTTTCAGAAACTAAGCGCGTTTAAACAGTGGAGAGAGTGCGTGCACATGGTTGACAAAGATAAGTAGCACATTTAGCAGGTAATTTCCCTATTGCGCAAGTGGGAAGCTCTGTTTTGGGGATTACGTCTCTTTATAGCCTATCAGGCAACACCGGTTGTGTTCCTCTGTGGCCAGATTAAACCTCGTTGTAGCCAATATATTATGCTCTATTCATTATTTTTTAGAAACCTTGCACTTTTCTACTCCGTTTTAAATGGTGTTCTTGTATTCAAATTAAGCGCGGTCCACTGCAGCGCATGTGCCTCGATATCGATACAGGGCCAGCTGTATCGATACTTGTATCATTAGATCTCTGTGACGATACATCGTCGTATCGATGTTTTGAACACAGCACTAGTCTGACCACAATAGAGTGCAGAATATCTATAAATGCTGATCCCAATGCATATTTTTCATTATAAACATGGATATTAAAATCACCAACAATTTAAGACTTTATCTGCAGCCAGCACTAAAATCAGAAAATTCATTGATCAATCTGTATGGTGCTCTGGTGGCCTGTATACAGTAGCCAGTACAAACGTCACAGGGGATTTATCATTAACACTTGTTTCTCTGGACAATGTTATATGAAGCACCATTACTTCAAATGGATTATACTTGAAACCAGACCTCTGAGAAATACTGAATATATTACTATGTATAAATTGTAGCGACACCACCCCTTTACCTTTTGGACTCGGCTCATGTTTATAACAGTAATCTTGAGGGGTAGACTCATTTAAAGTAATGTAATCATCTGGTTTTAGCCAGGTTTCTGTCAAACAGAGCACATCTAGGTTATGATCAGTGATCATATCATTTACTAAAAGCGCTTTCGTAGAAAGGGATCTAATATTCATTAAGCCTAGCTTTATCATTTGTTTAACTGTATTATATCTGTTTTTTATTTGTTGAACATCAATTAAATTGTTACTCTTAAATTGGTTTGGACGTTTTTTGTATTTGTTAGTTCGAGGAACAGACAGTCTCTATAGTATGATATCTAGGTGAAAGAGTCTCTATGCGCTGACTTCTGTGATAGTAAGATTCCAACAGAAAATCAAAGCTACACGGAGCTACAATCGCAAACCACTCAGCAGCACGCAAAGTCCATTTAAGGCAAGTCATTTCACTCAGCGGCCATCTTTGAAACGCCTCTCGGGCATGCAAGTGCAGCTCATATCTCTTTGAATGGGGAAACATCGAGTGACACATTTTAGGTATTCTATAGTCTTTGGCAGCACGGCAGACAAGAACCGGAAAATATAGAAATTATATTTTCAACATGAAAGAAAGTAGTTTCACTTCATTATAATATTTTTCTCAGAAAGCTGCCCTAATTCGCTGTCCTTCAAATGTCCCCTCACAATACAGAGTAATTATTACAAGTTATAATAAAGTGTTACAGCTATGGTTATATAACTTGTGTTTCTGCACGCAGATAGCCTGGACCATTTTATCTCATGCTGTTGTGTTCTAGTGGTCTGTAATTACTGTGGACATTGAAATGATCTTACTTGATTGTGCATTGTGTGTCAAAATAGATGAGTGCACTGTAAAAAATGACCGTGAATTTAACGATAAAAGACTGTACATATTTTTTACGGTAAAATTCCGGCAACCACAGCTGCCGTTTTTTTACCGTAAATTTTACGGAATTTTTTTTACAGTGTGTGTTTGTGAACGCATCTCCTATGACCTTAAAACACTCTCAAATGCACTTCATTATGATTGTACCGAGTTTTGAAAAGAATGATAATTTCGTATGGGTTTTATAGTAGGTTTTTTTTCCATCCTTTACGTGTTGAGAGCAGCTCTGCAGAGCCGCCCAGAGGGATTTATCAGTTTGTCAGCACTTTATTACACTCTGACAGCACAGATTACGATGACAAATGGCTTGAATTTTCACCGGTGATGCTGTTTTTTATGCGGTCCGGTGAAAGCGCACCACATGTGCTCTGGAGATAAAGCCTTTAGGAGAGCATTTGCATTTTTGAGTTGAGCTTTGAGTCAACATTTCTTGCCCTCAGGCACTGTTGGAGCCTGTTTCTAATGGTTCGGTTGTTTTATCCAGCAGTGCTGGATTGTATTGATTAAGAAGCAGGTCACTGATACAGCATTCAGTGAGTGAATGTGGGTGAGAGCGTCATTCATAAAACATTCAGGTGACGTCCCAGGCACAGGGAGTGTGTTGAAATCCCTTTGATTCCACTAGAGTTTGATTCAGTCAGTGTGTAAAGTTTAAATGCTAAACACACCGTTTAGCATTTAAAGAAATTACAAATAAAATTGCTTTGGATTTTCCCCCCAAAAAACATGAATGTGAAATGAATGACACTTTAACTGCTAACCTGTTCTTGCCACTGTAGTGACTTAATATGCAATTTAAGTCGTTAATTCTATAAGGGAATTAATCATTAATTTTATTTCTAGCTCAGGTTTTGAAAGGACTCGAATCTGAAAATTCTGAGTCAACCTGATTAAAACTGACTTTAAATTTACACTTTAAATCAAGGGTCGTCCAGCGAGCCGGTGATTCTTAGTATATTTTAACAATTTGAATCTTTGTATTTCCCTGGCCACGGTCAATACAATTATTATAAGTAAGCTATTATAGTAATTATTATAAGTAAGCTACGAGCTAGGTAGCAAGGGATCTTTGGCAAAAGTTTTAACCTTAAAATTATATGACACCAAACAATGATTCTTTATAAAATCCACCTCACAGGTGTGGCATATCAAGATGCTGATTAGACAGCATGATTATTGCACAGGTGTGCCTTAGGCTCACATTTTAGAGTGGCCTTTTATTGTGGCCAGCCTAAGGCACACCTGTGCAATAATCATGCTGTCTAATCAGCATCTTGATATGCCACACCTGTGAGGTGGATAGATTATCTCGGCAAAGGAGAAATGCTCACTAACACAGATTTAGACAGATTTGTGAACAATATTTGAGAGAAATAGGCCTTTTGTGTACATAGAAAAAGTCTTAGATCTTTGAGTTCAACTCATGAAAAATGGGGGCAAAAACAAAAGTGTTGCGTTTATAATTTTGTTCAGTGTAGATAGGTATAGATTATTTATTGCCTAACTTTAACTTTTTACTTCTGGCGATGGTATTTCGACTTCATAATTCATAATCACACTTGTGTTCATTTGTGAAGATCATCTTATTGAAAAAAGGGTGGAAACCATAAAGCTTGTTATCTGCAACAATTCAAAAGCTAAAGTAAAAATTCTACTGCGTTTTTGTTGAGGAAACCAGAGTGATGCTGACTTCTGGGTTGGCCTACAAAAATACATCATCACTGCAGCACTCTACTGAAAAACAGAACTAAAATACATTGATCTTTACTTTGTAGAATTCAGAGACGGTGTGTAATCTCTACCAGACGTTCCCTGAAGGCTCCGTTCTTGTGCCAGAGGGCCACAGGAACCCTTACTCCACTGAAAATGCCCATGCCAGATCCTCTCCCCGTCAGATGTCCGTCACAGAGCGCCTGCGCATGGTCATTCAAGAGCTGGTGGACACGGAGAAATCTTATGTCAAGGTACTAAACCGCAGCTGTGGCATTTTTCAAAGTGTATTCATTGTTTTAATGGAGACATTAATTAAAGCATAATGCCTTTTTCTGTATTTACACTGTCATATCACTTGTGTCCCGTTGTTTAGGACCTTGGATCTCTGTTTGAGATCTATCTGAAGCCATTACAAAGAGAAACCTTCCTCAGTCATGATGAGGTATGTTTTGCGGTGTAAAATAATGTGTTTTGGAGTCCAAATGGTCTTATTTTGTTATATTTAACTAAACTGAGTCAGAACCGAGCTCAGTTTAGCACATAATGTCCGTAATTGCAGTTTTATCCTTTTCCTGTAGATGGAGTCTCTGTTCGGCAGCCTGCCAGAGATGCTGGACTTCCAGAGGGTTTTCCTACAAACCCTAGAGGAGAGGACAACTTCCTCACCAGACTACCATGCACTAGAGACTCCAGAGAAACTCAAGGTAAAATATGGTGATGAAATTATGCCGGATTGTATGATTAACCCTCTGATGCATAAAATAATCAGTTCCTAGTCTGGATCACCTGGAATAAACGATACAATTAAATACTCCAGAAGTACTTTTGTCAAGCATTTTGTTGTAAATTTAAAAACAAAATGACATAAATAGGTCTGTCATACAGAATTATGGGTAAGGGTCAAGTCAACGCACTATTGTTTAAAATTAGTTTAAAATTACTAACCAAAATAAAACTAAAACTGAAATAAAAAAAAATGTAAACTATTTAGATAAATAATTACAAAATTATAAAAAAAAATCACATACAATTACTCAAAATGTAACTAAAATTAAAATGAAAACTGATAATATAAGTCCAAATATTAATAAAAGCTAAAAGGTGTCAATTTTTCAAAATTGAAATGTATAAATCATCTGAAAGCTGAATAAATAAGCTTTCCATTGATGTATGGTTTGTTAGGATAGGACAATATTTGTCCGAGATATAATTATTTGAAAATCTGGAATCTGAGGCGGCAAAAAAATCAAAATACTGAGAAAATCATCTTTAAAGTTGTCCAAATGAAGTTCTTAGCAATGCATATTACTAATCAAAAATGAAGTTTTGATATATTTACGGTAGGGAATTTACTAAATATTTTCATGGAACATGATCTTTACTTAATATTCTAATGATTTTTAGCATAAAAGAAAAATCTATAATTTTGACCCATACAATGTATTTTTGGCTATTGCTACAAATATCCCCGTGCAACTTAAGACTGGTTTTGTGGTCCAGGGTCACAAATAGTACATTTACTGTACGTGGTTATCACTCATGGATATAACATCACAAAATCTGTCCATTATACAGACACCATGCAGACTGTTAATTTAATTAGACTATTAATCTGTTTTACATTTGATACATGTTTTCTTTTTCAATCTCGCATCCAGAAACTCCTCTTCTCCCTGGGTGGCTCTTTCTTATACTATGCAGATCACTTCAAGCTTTACAGTGGCTTCTGTGCCAATCACATTAAGGTGCAGAAAGTTCTCAAAAGAGGTAAAACAAAAACATAAGCCTCATCTGACATGTCTCGTGGCATATTTCAAAAGAAGCCGAAAGAAGATGAGCCTGGTTCATGTCATTCTCTGATTTGTCTGATGGCAGCAAAAACAGACTGGGCATTCAAAGAGTTCCTGGAGGTGAGAAACCCCACCAAACAGCACTCGTCCACCCTGGAGTCGTACCTCATTAAACCCGTGCAGAGAGTTCTGAAGTACCCGCTGCTGTTGAGGGAGCTGGTGTCTCTCACCGACCCCGAGAGCGACGAGCACAGCCACCTCACAGGTGAGAATCTGTCATCATTTACTCATCTGACTTGCTTTTAAATTCAGTCAGCCTTTAATCCATTAGTGATTCAATTATGAATTCAGTGAGTCAGCTGACATAAATGGTCTCCTTTCTGTCTGGTGCAGAGGCATTAAAGGCCATGGAGAAGGTGGCCAGTCACATAAATGAGATGCAGAAGATCTACGAGGACTATGGCACAGTGTTCGATCAACTAGTAGCAGAGCAGAGTGGCCCTGAGAAGGAGGTGCATACAATTCTAGAATTACTTTTAAAAGCATACAGGGATCATATTATATGCAGTATATTTTCCCTTTTATGATTTCAATATCAAGCCTGTGTGTCGTGTGTCTCAGGTCACGGAGATCTCCATGGGAGAGTTCATCATTCACAGCTCAGCACTCTGGCAAAACCCTCTGCCCTCTTTGGGCCGCATGAGAAAAGACCCTGAACTCACCCTCTTCCGTAAGTCAGATCTGATTTACTGTAACTCTAAAAACCTTGCAGTTTATGCCGTATAATAAATGTATAATATTAAAAAGTCAGTGCAGTAAGTCAGTGTTTTTATTCCTCCAGTCTTCAAGAGTGCACTCATTTTGGTGTATCGGGAAAGCAAGTTAAAGAAAAGAATGGTGAGTTTTGGAATGTAGCACATGGGGTATTTTTATTAGGTCTGTCAGTTCATAAAAATATACATATTTTCATGCTATGCCAAATATTTAATTATTCATGTACTTGAGTATTTGCAGAATACTGATACTTAAGAACATTACATGAACAGATATTACTTTATTAGAGCAGATTGGTCTATTTATTGAATAGACAAAAAAACAATTTAGAAATCAAAATATACACTGCTCAAAATATACTGCTCAAAATGTTGGGCTCTGTAAGATGTCTGTTTATGCTCACCAAGGCTTCAATTATTTGATAAAAACAGCAATATTGTGAAATATTATTACAATTTAAAATAATTGTTTTCTGCATTAAAATGTGATTGTAAAATGTAATTTATTCCTGTGATCAAAGCTGAATTTTCAGCATCATTATTCCAGTCTTCAGAAATCATTCTAACATGCTGATTTGCTGCTCAAGAAACATTTCTTATTATTGTCAATGTTTGTTTGTGGAAACCATGATTTTGAGAAAGAATAGAATGTTAAAAAGAACAACATTTATTTGGAATAGATTTTTTTTTTGTAACAATGTAAATGTCTTTACTGTCAAGTAAAGTTTTATATTAAAAGATTTATACTAAAAGTATTATATTAATTCCTTAAAATCTATCTGACCTCAAAATTTTGAACAGAGGGCATGTATGAATATATTATATATTGTTACATATAGAAACAAATATTTGTTTTCTTTTGATATACTTCAAGCTTAAATTACAGAATTTACATGCAGGTCTGAGGTCAAGATTAATAGTGTTTTTAAGTAACACATTAAATTGACAGTCATGGTTTGGTTGCTGTTTGTAAGTTTTATACTGACAGACAGCTAACAGACATTTGTATGTTTATCCAACTAGACGTCTTCACGACCCGGGGATCTGGATCCTTTTAAATTCCGCTGGCTCATTCCTGTTTCATCCCTTCAGGTCCGACCTGGAAATTCAGCAGGTGTGTGCAACGTGATCTTCCTGTGTAAACTAAGAGATATCTCTGATGAACATGAGTTTGACATGGATTAAACAAGAGCTCTGTTCCTGTCAGAGAGAGAGAAGTAGATCTAAGACAGACATGGTATTCAAATACCACTTGAACACGTCACATCAGAGCTCGTAATAAAAAAAAATAATAAAAAAATTGTGTATCATGAAAGTCTCAAGCCCTTTTAAAAGACCCACACATTGCCAAAATTCAAATCCAGTCCATAGCTTGCTTAAACATCCTACTCTTTCCTCTTTCAGGGTCAGAGAACCCCTGTGTGTGGGAGGTTGTTCACACAAAATCTGAAGTGGAGGGACGACCAGAGATGTCCTTTCAGCTCTGCAGCAGGTAATGATACTGAAAGTTAAAAAAAAACAAAAAAAAAACCTAATAATAAATGAATAACATGAATAAAATACAACCTTATTTACCATGAGCTGATTCTTCTTAGCGTAATACTTCACCCAAAGATGAAAATTCATACTTTAAACATTTATTACATGAGGGTGAGTAAATGTTAAGTAGAATAAAGCAATAAGCCCCAAGAAGCCGTGGTTTACAGTGAATTTATAACCGCTAAGGGGCGTTGTTAGGCACAACGCGAAGCGGAGTCTACTTATCTACTTCGCAGGGCTTATTGCTTTTATAAAACGGTTATTCCATATACGTAGTAAGGTTTCACAGAATAAAACAGAGCAAATAAAGTGTAATGATATAAATCAAAACAGTATTCTTCCACCAAACAATGTAGTTCCTCAGAATCAGTTGTGGTTGCAACAAAGTGGTTGCCGAGCAACACACAGAAGTAAACAAAGGTGTATGTTTGTAGTGTAAACAGCTTCGAACGTGGCTCAACCAATCAGAATATAAATATAAAACTAAAAACGATCCGTTTTATAATTTTCAGTTTGGGGCGAACAATCACTTTAAGGGAGTTTTACGAACTCAAACATTCCTCAACCGTAGTAAAATCACCGTAATCCCTTGTGAAAAAGAAGTACACTTTAGCATACTTTCAAAAAGAGTATTTATTACAGAAATAATATACTTTAAAAGAATATACTGAATATGGTGCGTACAATATCAAATAATACACTACAGTTTAAGTTATAATCAAGTACTTAACATGTGCTTAGTATGTTAGTCAACATCAGAATACTGTACTTATGTAAAGCACAACAAAGTGTACTTCTTTAAAGTAAAACTTTTAACTTGACATTTACAAAGCACACTTATTAAAAGGGTCAAGAAGCAGTCATGAAAGTACTTTCTTTAATTGCATGTAGGTGGCCTTTAATTGAATTCATAATAATACAGATTTTAAAATATACTTTTAAGATTTAAAGTATACTACAAGTTAGGCCTGGGCGATAAAACGGTATCGATATTTATCGATGGTACACCTTCTTCGATATCGATAGAAAAATTGTTCGATAAAGCGCACGATATAGTGACATAGGACTATGAGTGATGCAGACAGCACACACAAACACGAACACATGCTCAAATGAGTGCTGTGCCTGCCTGTGATGAGGAGATTGTGAATAAAGAATGAATATTAGTCGAATTTAAAATAAACATTTGCATTTGAATGTTAGCTGTGCGTCAGGGAGCGTCATCAGTGGCGCGCGAGATGCGATGATGTTGATGTAAGTGACATTGTTGCATTTTAATGTTTTGTTAGTCTAGCCCACGAGACGCGCCGCTGCTACATCATTCAAAATATTAGAGAAATAAAGCTCAATGCGGAGAAGATCTTGAATGGGTTAAAACTAGGCCTGGGCGATAAAACGGTATCGATATTTATTGACGGTACACCTTCATCGATATCGATAGAAAAATTGTGCGATAAAGTGCACGATATAGTGACATAGGACTATGAGTGATGCAGACAGCACACACAAACACGAACACATGCTCAAATGAGTGCTGTGCCTGCCTGTGATGAGGAGATTGTGAATAAAGAATGAATATTAGTTGAATTTAAAATAAACATTTGCATTTGAATGTTATCTGTGCGTCAGGGAGCGTCATCAGTGGCGCGCGAGATGCGATGATGTTGATGTAAGTGACGTTGTTGCATTTTAATGTTTTGTTAGTCTAGCCCACGAGACGCGCCGCTGCTGCGTCATTCAAAATATTAGAGAAATAAAGCTCAATGCGGAGAAGATCTTGAATGGGTTAAAAC